TTTCAGTAATGAGCAAACTAAATAATTACCGTCTTCTTTTATCAAAACGTTGTTTCTGTTACTGAGAAGAAAATGCGTGCATTAAGCTGCGCGGTTTGTTGAAGCTGTCATCAGCTCATCAGGAGCTAAAGAGGCAGATGTTTTCATCCAAGTGCATCACGGCCCGTGAAGAACGAGGAAGATGTGATGAATAGTCTACGGCTGCAGGTGTGGATCTGCAGCCGTGCCCTTCTTAGCATGACAGGGGGATGTTCTGAAGGTCCGCTCACCTGTTCACCGCTCAGACACCACGATCTTCTACCTTCCTAGATCATCCAGCTGTAACCTGTTTCTGATCATGTCTTTAGTCCCGCTGTAACACTGATGCATCAGTCATCCAACGTCATGGAGCTCAGGTATTATTAGAACTACCTGTGTGTGTACCACCCAGCTTCAGCTCTTCTGTGGTTGGGTCTGACCCATCTTAGTACATGTAAGTCCTCCATCAGATTTGTGCCTCTTCTAGTGTCATTTTAAAGGATTTTATTTATTTATTTAACCATTACTAGATTACCAGCAACAGAAATGCTACTAATAACACACAATTATGTGAAGCTGGAAAAATTAAAATACTGTGCAAAATTACATTCATTTATGTAATTTAACTAGAATGAGAGACCATTTAAAGGCTCGGGAACCTTTACAGGTGTTTCTATTTGCAATTTTAAATTTTAGCTGATTGGGGTCTTGTTAAATATCACAAGTCACCTTTTAATAGTCTAGATAAGTGTAATGTTCCTGTTAGTAGTTCCTCCTGTTAAGTGCTTATTTATTTAAATTATTCAGGTTTCTAAAAAACATTTTGACATACATTTTATTATGTTCCAGTCATTAGTCATTTATATATCACTATTGTAGTAATTTATAGTAAATTAAGTAAGTTCAGTTAACCCATTTTTCTTGCATTCTTTAATGAAAAAGTAACTAAGTAGTTATTTTTCTCGGTAATTAGTTACTTTTATAATCTCGTAACTCAGTTAGTAACTGAGTTACTTTTTGACAAAGTAATTAGTAACTGTAACTAATTACTTTTTAAAAGTAACTTTCCCAACACTGTAACAGAATGACATGACTATTTTCCACCCTTAAGTCATTTTCCCCCTCTCCTCTGACACAGAACTAATCTGCATGAGATATTGCCTCAAGGTCTCATGCATCTGCTCCTAAACTGTTTTCCTTTCCAGCCCAAGAGAAGAATGAAGACACCTCTAAGATCATTGATGTCCACAGAGCCTGTGTTGTCCCAGCAGCAGAACCACTCCTACCTGAGTTGGGAAAGCCACCTGACCCAGAGGAGGCTGACGCTTGCAGTGACGCTCTGCCTGAGACTCCACACCCTGCAGTGGGGACGCCATCTGCCACAGGGAGAGTTGATGGTGGCACTGAGACTCCAGCTGAAGCCCAGTACTCTGCAGTGGGAACACCACCCACCAGAAGGGGGGCCGACGCCACTGACCTTACTCCACTACAGCTGGTACTGATGACATTTAAACCTCAGGTGGGTGACTTACCTACCAAAGGGGGGTCGGATGTCGCCCTGTATCTTTACTGGCTAACCCTGGTCTCTCTAATCGCACCTGTGTGTCGACCGGGGCCCCTCCAGAGAGCACATCTGCTCCAGACCCTCGTAAGGCTGCGCCTGCACCTGTCTATAGACTAAATCATCCGTGGTTTCAGTCTTTAGGACAGACAATGTGTCTCTTGCTAGTCACATGCTTCTGTCTGATCCTAAACGTGGCTGTGCTTCCTCCACAGCCTCCTCTAATACGACCAGATCTCTTGATGTTTAACCATCGCCTGCAGTTCCAGCCAGTTCAGTCTGGTGGCGCTGTGGCTCACATGAGCAAACAATATTTGCAGGACCTGAAGAACCATCTGCCTGCAGCGTTCTTGTTTGCACAGACAAATCTGGAGAAATTAGCTGAGGGCAGGAAGGCTTATTATGATCAGAAGGCCTCACATACTGAAATCAACATAGGTGATGAGGCCCGACATTTTCACTCCTAAAACTGGTAACACCAAGAACATCTTTGGGAAGCTGGCTAAGAAACTTTTGCCGAAGTGGTCAGGCACATACCTGATAACTGATAAGCTCTCTCCAGTCGTGTATCAGATCAAGATTACCCAAACAAACAAGGAGCCCGTCTATAAATGGGTCCACAGGGACCAAATCAAACTGCACAAGGGTTCCACTAATTTGGTCAATGCTACCACCAACAACTTACCGACTTCGAAAGGGGGGTGATTTCGCGCCTCGTCGGTTCCATAGCTCTATCTTGAGTTACACAAGTTTGTCTATGTTTGTGTGTGTGCGTGGTTGTCTTTCCTGTTTGTACATGACGTGCAGACTTGGGTGATTTGAGATGAACATGCTGTGGGTTCCTGAAGTCAGGTAATCAGGTAGTTAACAGTAGATGGGTTTAGTCCACATATTACTGTTGTCCAAAAATAATTTTTTTATATATTTTCACTAATCGTAATTCCTTATGGGTACATTCACATGTAGGTTGATTACCAACTTCACTGATTTACAATTTTAGTGCTCTTTGACACTCATGTATCTATCTTTTTATTGAATTTTACTGCAGTGATTAAGTTTTGGAAACAATATGATTAACTTTGTTAATTTACCTTTATGGGCTACAACCATTTTTTCCCTTCGTGTTGATTATATTTTTACTGAGTGCAGTGATTTCTCCCATACGCAGTATAGGGTTTTATTAATTTTATTCTTTTTGCACCACTTTTTCCAGTACACAAATTGTATTGCATCCATTTCTTCACTTAAAATGCTAATTTCACATAATTGCTACACATAGTACATGCAGGTACTCACAGTGCTAGTTTTTTTGTTTTTGTTTATCAATTTGCATTAGACACCATTTTGTTGTGTCTACATTGAAATGCCCTGTGCTGTGCTCTCTCTCCTCTTCTGAGTTTCGTCAACGATCCTCGCTTCATGGGGGTGGACCTATGCTTCGTCATCGGATTCTGCTCCTCCTGATGGGTGTTCCAGCTCGTAGGACCTGGACGTTCGTGGATTCCGGCATGGCTGCTGGGATACTTCGCTCGCTGGGACCTGACCTACCTGCTGCTCTTTCCCGCACTGAATCACGATAAGTGCAATTACAAAGATCAATTAACTATTTTGGAAGTATTCCCTGCCCATGGATATATAAAGTTGCTCCTGCTTCAAATTATTACCTCAAGGTGGATACCTTAAATATCTGCTGACTTGTGTGCTTCCAAAGGGATCATGTGAGACTGATGAAACAATGTACTGTTCTTCGGAGTGGGGTTCGTACCTCACCACTTTTGGCCTCTTCCTGGGGAACTGCACCTTCCTCTATCGTCTGAGTCCCTTTAGGACTCTGGTTTGTTGAACGCCAGGTGGTCTCTGTACGGACCACCGTACCATTGAAAAGGGGGGATATGTAATGGAATGAAATGACTGTTTTCCACCCAAAAGTCATTTTCCCCCTCTCCTCAGCAAGAACTAATCTGGCAGCCCGCGCAGCAGACAGAAGCCGCAATCAGACAGAGATGCACCGAGCTGCGGGGAGGGGAGAACCACAAGCTGGCAGCCCGTGCAGCAGACAGAAGCCGCAATCAGACAGAGATGCGCCACGTTGCGGGGAGGGGAGAACCACAAGCCGGCAGCCCACGCAGCAGACAGAAGCCGCGATCAGACAGATGCGCCGAGCTGCGGGGAGGAGAGAACAAGGTGGAAAACAGAGGTCTCCCGAGAGCTCCACAAGCCGATAGTCGGAACCTAGCTCCACCAACATGTTATATTTCAACGCATTTTCTAAAGTGCAGCATTATGTTAAATGCACTGGGTTTTACCCTATTACATTTAAATTTCATGGTTAAACAGTACATGTTAAAATCTAAGCTCAGATCGGCAGTGACCTAAAATACATTACTCACCGAAAAAAAAATGAAGTGGAGACTCCTTGGACGCTCTATTAGTGCAATTAATGCCACAGCAAGTCATTTTGTCCAACAATTGCACAAAAAATATCCAAAAAAGAATACACAAACACAGAGACTCAAAATCCCGGAACAGTTTCCAAGCCAGACCGAGGCTCTACTGAGGCCTTTCCACGGAGCTAGCTCTGTGGTCACGTGGGTCTGATGCTATTAATTATACAGAATTTTAGGCTTTTAATACACTTAAACAGAAGACTGAGAAAAAAATTAACCCCCCTCAGAATTGTCATGAGTGTAAACTAGATAATTTAAACCAAAAACATGTTTTGGTACCAGGCTGTAAACATGTTTATTTCTGCTGTGAAATTGTTATTTTTAACATGGGAGTCAATGAGGATTTGCTCGCTTCTGACACCAGCCCCCAGCGGATGAGGGTGGAACTGCAATTTGTGGTACTTCCGGGATTGCTTCAATTTTTGAGCCACATTGTGGGGGCCTGTGTGTCGCCAGGAGCTTCCACTATCCAGGGTGCATAGACTAAACAATGGCGTCAGAGTGGCTGATATTAATTTGATAATTTGTCAAATTACATCCAACAAACAGCCACATTTATTTTATAAACCCAGACATTACACCTTTCTGAGTCACTTGGAAAACTCTTAAACATACAAGGTCATGTTTCATCAGAGTCCATTCATTGTCTCATTTGATATTGCAGTGAATCACCATTCATAATCTTTGCTTTTCATCATCATTATAATAAATTGATTTTATAAAAAGTACACTTTTGTGTCATCCAAATTATTATAAAGTGTTGTTTCCCTGGATTAACCAAAGTATCTTGTTCAATCAGCGATCGAATTTTGAAGGCTGAATGAAATTGATAATCCATATTTTTATGGAATAGAACTTGTTATTGAATACCTTTGTATTGTATTGACATTTTTTGAAAGTAACCACTTACAAATCTTTACAATTTTAATTGACCTTTTAATAAAGCCTTAGTAAGGATTTTACTTTTGTCAGTTTTTACAAAAAAGGCATAAAATTAGCAAATACAGCATTTAAACAAAATAAGATACTTTTTTACAAAATAATTGCATGTTTAATTTATTGTTAATCAATGAAATAAAATGTCATTCCAAAGTTCCATTTACAGAAATAATTCCTATGTGATGAAAGTATAAACTGACAGAAATATGAGCAAAATTAAGCATATAAAAATGTTAATATGCATTATTCTACAGTTAATGACATGAAAAAATGCAAACAATTTGGTTTTGTTAATGCATCTAATATTCAAAAATTTTGCTAAAGTTCCTGTCCAGGATACAGCTTGTTCCCTGCTCTGATGTTACACAGCAGGTAATTTTTTAAATACTGTTTAAAAATCTTGTCTCTCAGCCCGTACACAATGGGACTGATAAACCTGGGAAGAATGTGGGCTAAGATGTACCAAAAAAAGCGTAATTCAGCTATGTATTGTGGTAGAACAATTATAGAATTTTTTACTATGGGGTCCACGTACGTTAGCATGCACAACAGGAGCTGAAAACCATGAAGCAGGATAGTATTTCTGGCCTTTGCATTTCCATCAACTGACTTAACTGCTTGAGCTGCAAAGAAGATTTTAAAATAGGTAAATAAGAGGGTAAACCAAACTATAGTTAAATACGTTATGTAAGTAAGGGCCCTCTTTTGTAAACTTACCGGATGTCGTAACAGAATGTCTTTATCACAAAACGCTATGGAATAAGAGAACCATAATGGATCTGCTGCAAGATGAATAAATACATCCGGTACAATTGACACTGAGCTCAAAACCCATATACAGCCAATTAGAATATATGTTCGATTAATGGTACAGAGCTCAGTGTGTCGCAGAGGGAAACACACAGCAATGTAGCACTCTACAGCCATTACAGCTAGATTTAAAGGAGTGTTCATAGTGGTGAAGCTAGCAACAACGATAAGTAGACAACAAAAAGAGGCATTCATTTTGTAGAAAATGTAACTAAATACATGCAGGCTTATTGTTGTTGTAAGCTGGATCATATCATTCACCACGAGATGGATAAACAGGATGTAACGAGGATTCACGTAAAATACCTGGAAATAAAAAAAGGGCAGTATTTTAATTTCACATTTATATTTTCTACTTTCTTTCTCTGATCATATGGAAACATCTAAGTTAAATTCTGACCTGGTGTTTTCTGAAGGTGTGAACCAGTGTGCCATTGATGTAGTTGATGACGAGGCCAAGAACAACAACAATCACATTTCTAGTTACGATTGTTTCCGTGGTGCCTCGATAAATCACACTATTGGAAACACTGACATTGGATGAAGAATTCATGAATTTGGTGGAATGTCTTGTCCTCGAAACAAAATAAAAAATATGTGAAACACCACATACTCCTTTTAACTTAGGTACACTGAGCTACATTGATAATAAAGGCATTTAATTATGTTGTATGTATTGTATTTTATTATCTTTATCATCTGGTTGAGGGCTGAATTAGAAAAGGTAAAAAAAATCAACAAAAAGGACAATGATTTTCTAAATCAAATACAAGATGTTTTCATATGATCATGCATTAAAGTTTAAAGTTATCAAAAACACATTTTAAACTCAGCATCTTCAATGATGTGGTGTTTCAACTGTTAAACAATCTTCAAGGATAAATCAATTTTAGGTTAAAAAATATTCAAAGACAGAATGTTTAAATTTATTTTTTATTTTTGGAGGGCTCTCCTAATTTCTTCAGAACACAATAAAAATCATGCAATGCTTTACAACACTACCCTTAATCAATCTACCCTTAATGTAGTTTTGCTGTGATCCTAAATATAAAAAGGCTCCATGACTGTTCTTTACTCCTGATCTATTCTACTTAAATTATTATTATTATTACTACTATTTTGCAATTACTGCTAATTCTTAATCAGTGAGATCAAAGGCAAACAACAACAACAAGAAAATCTTTACAATTCTTAAATGGTATGCCAAATTAACAAACATGTTTTAAACACATTAAATTAATCACAGCAACTTGTGATGTTTTGAAATAGCTGATTCAGCCTTCCAGCTGGAGCACTACTACGTATGCCTAATTTATAGGTTTAAGATAAAAAATAGTCACAATAAAAAGCAATGCTACACTTTGTTAGGAGAAAAAGCAATAAATAAGTTGAGCAATGGTAATATAGAATAGACACACCCAAGGAGTTCTCACCTCAAAAAAAACTTTGATTCCAGTTTGACCTTCAGAAAAGGAGTAAATTATGTCTGATGTCTTCTTGTTTGAATTTTATAATAATAGGCCAGCTTAAATGTGACGTGTGGGTAATATCCTCCTATGTATTAATTAGTTGACTGGGAGCAACATATTGTAGCACCAATGTTTGTGTATCACTAATATTGCTTGGTGGCATTAGAGAGGACCCATTTAAACTTCAATAAAATACCCATTCCAGAGATGAAAAACAAATAAAGCAAAAAAAATAAAAAAGACCTTGTTCAATGATAGTATTAATGTTAAATTCAACACGTTAAGACATTGAATGTGGACTTGTGTTCCAACAATTCATCTCATATATTTTGGAGCAGAATACAATCTAATTATTAGATCTCATGCACCATAAAAAGATTTTGGGATCAAATTTTGCAAATGATAAAATATTATTTTTTTCTGTCAAAGGTTTATTTAAAGACTTCACAAACAAAGACTGTTTGCAGTGAGTTATGGAAAAGATGACAATAGCCAACTCTGAAAAGATTTAGCTAATAACTATAGACATCTATGAGCAATTGATTTGAGTTTAAGCTTTAAACATACTACTTTCCCTGCTATCTTTCTGCTAAGTAGTTTAATGTACCCCACATCCAAGAGGTGGCACCTTAAGTGGAGGGAGGCAATTCCTCTCAGGTCCAAATAAAAACCATTTAAGCCATTTAAGAACATTGACTTTCACACCAACTGAAAGCTAGAAGTTGCCTTGAGAATAAGGTTTGTTTCCTACTCTGTTAAACAGCAGATTTTTTTTTAAATACAGTTTAAATGTCTTGTCTCTAAGCCCGTATACAATAGGACTGATAAATCTGGGAAGAATGTAGACAAAGATGTACCAAAAAAAACGTACTTCTGATACATACTTGGGGAGAAACGAAATATAATTTTTTACCTCAGGTGCCACATACGTTAGCATACACAACAGAAGCTGAAAACCATGAAGCAGGATAGTATTTCTGGCCTTCTTTGCATTTCCATCAACTGAATTAGCTGCTTGAGCAGCAAAGAAAATCTTAAAATACGTAAATAAGAGGGTGAACCAAACTATAGTTAAAAATGTTATATATGTTATTGTCCTCTTTTGTAAACTTACTGTATGTTGGAACATATTATCCCTTTCACAAGTTGCTATAGAATAAAAGAACCAGAGGGGATCTGCTGCAAGATAAAAAAATATATCAGGCACAATTGTCACTGAGCTCAAAGCCCAAATACAGCCAATTAGAATATTTGTTCGTTTGATGGTGCAGAGCTCAGCATGTCGTAAAGGGAAACATACAGCAATGTAGCACTCCACAGCCATTACAGCTAAATTTAATGGAGTGTTCATGGTAGTAATAACAGCAGCAACAATAATGGGTAAACAGAGAGATGCATTCATTTTATAGAAAATATTGTTTAAAACAAGCAGGGTGATTGATGTGGTTAGTTGGATCATATCATTCACTACCAGATGGATGAACAGGATGTAACGAGGATTTGTGTAAAATATCTGAAAAAGAAGAGAAGGTTTTAAAAAAATTCAAACAATCACTTTAAAACTTGTTTCTACAGAAACATGATCAAATGACAAATGCAAACCCTGTGTTTTCTGAAGGTATGAATCAGTGTGCCATTGATGTAGTTGATGATGAAGCCCAGAGTCACAGCGATCACACTTCCGGTTGCAGTTTGGCTCGAATTGACTCGATAAATCTGACTGCTTGACACATTGTAGTTATAAGATGAGGAATTCATGGAGTTGATGGAAAATCTTGGCGTTGAAACAAGACTAGAGCATGTTGAAACACCATATTTTAGTCATGACAATTCTGTGTATTTGATTAAGGTTCTTTTTATAAATGGTTATCAAATAGTTAATAGACATGTTATTACAGGGCTTGTTTCCACGGGGCAGCAGTAGCTCAGAAGGTAGAGTGGGTTCCTTTTCATTGTTAGACTGATGACACTCAGGCCTACATTCCTGTTAGTAGCTCGGGAATTGGCCAACTTAAAGACTGTTTATTTGAACTGAGATTCTGGATGGCTGAAAATTTTCTAGATCTGAACCAACGTAAGACAGAGCTGTTAGTGATTAGTTCTTAAGCTAATGCAAAAAGAAGCCATGCGCTCCTTGGTTGTCTTGCTGATTTGAGTAAATCACATCTGAAATCTTGGGGTCATTTTTGATGGTGACCTCTCATTTGAGAAACGGATAGTTTTTTTTTTTTGTTAAAAGCTGTTTTTTCCCACTTTGGCTTTTGCCCAAGGTCAAACCTTTTATTTTTATCGCGGAGGATCGATCTTGAGATAGCAACTCATGCTTTTATCCTCTCACGTCTTGATTTTTGTAACTCCATATTTTGGTATCAACAATTTTTTAATACGGAGGTTGCAGTTGGTCCAGAATGCCGCAGCTAGATTCTTGGCCGGTGCAAGGAAATATGACTCAGTGTCTCCGATTTTAGCTTCTCTGCACTGGCTGCCAGTCAACTTTAGAACTGAGCTTAAAATTGTATTGTTAGTTTTTAAATCTTTGCATGGGAAGGCGCCTAACTACTTATCTGGCCTGTGTGTTCCCTATTGCCCTTCCAGGGTGTTAAGGTCCTCTGGTCAATTGGCCGTGTTCGTTCCCAGCACAAGATGCAAAACTAGAGGAGACGGGGCTTTTCCACCTCGTCTGTGGAACTCTTTACCACAACTTATTAAGGAGTCTCCATCAACTGACCCATTTAAGTCTAGGCTTAAGGCCTATTTTAATTCCCTTGCTTTTAGTGATTGTTAATTTAGTATTGTAATTAAATGTTTGGTTTTTTTTATCATGCTATAATTTAATTCCATTTTTAGTATTTCAGGATTTATTTTGCATCGTTTTTAATAGTTTTCTGTGTATTTTAAGCACTTTGGCTTCAGCTATTTGCTGCTGTAAACATGCTATGTACATAAATTGATATTGACGTTGACATTGTCCAGTAATCGGAGGGATGCAGGATCGATCCCAGATTCCGGTGGAGGATTCCGCTATTTTGTCCTTGGGCAAAACACTTAACCCACCTTGCCTGTTGGTGGTGGTCAGAGGAACCGGTGGTGCCTTTGCTTGGTAGCCTGCTGCCGAGGCAGCAAAGGCAGGTTCTGGTACTTTTGGGTTGCTGCGCAGCAACCCAAAAGTACCAGAACCGCACACAAAGTGCATGCGCCCACCCTTCTTCACAGATATTTTCGGGTCAATACACATTGTTTTTCTGTTTTTGTTTTTTTTACACTTTTCTTCACATACAATGACAAGGATTGTTTATGTCAAATTAAACAGATCACAAAACATTATTTACGTCCTTTCTTTCGTTTTGCTTCTCCAACCCATAAACCCCTTCATGCCCTTCTACGGCAGGCTTGAAGGACAACAGACATCAATAACCACATGTCAATAACAACACAACCGCCTCTGGGACCTCTGCGTTTTCAGACGTAAAGGTCTGATGTGTTGTGTAAAAACTATTTATTTTTTTAGCATATTTTTAGTTCCAAAGTGTTGCTACCTCTTGTACAATGTGAGCATTGGGTCTTACAGTGTGAGATGGAGCTGAATGCTATGATTTAAAAAGTCACACAGTGTATGCCTGGCTAAAACGTTATTTATTATGTATTGATTGAAGTAAAAAAAAAGATTCAATTTACCTGTTTTCTGCTAAATAGTAAACCATACATGTATTTAATCTAAACCTTACTCTCTTATCTGTTGTAATAAGTGAATTTATCCACTGTGGGATCAGTACAGTTTATTCTATTTTATTCTATTCTATTCCAAACATTTCAGATTAAAATACAAGCTTGTAAGCACAATGAGCATTTGTAAACATAATATTCTAGCATATAATATGCTATTGTATACCGGTATGTTTTATAAGCATCTACAACTGCCAAAGGGAGTTATGTTGTAAAACTTTACACTACTATGCTTAATAAACATTAATAAATGCCAAAAGGGTGTCTTTTCATAAAGTGTGAAACATGCCACCTTTTATGATCAATTAACATGTATACCAGAAGGACAGAGCCTTACTACAATCAGTATGTGACACAAACTTTTATTTAGCATTTCTAAAGATTTAAACAAGCTTTGTAACAATAATTACATGTATATGGTTCTTTTATTTGGCAAGAAACTGGTCAGATTTTGTATCTTTTTATCCTTAATTAATACTTAATAAACAATTATTGATTAATAAAGTGTTACAGATTAAATGATAACTTATCAATAAATTATTTATTAGCCATTTGTTTAATATCTGTATATTATTTAAAATGTAACCCTATTGTAAATTGGTACATATTTTTTTTAATCTACTATAACAACTCAACCCAAACTTATCATTTGAAATGCTTAATTCAGCCGTTAAACATAAGCAGTATTTAAGACAATTGTCTGATTCAGAAGTATCAAGTGTATACCAATAAAAGCACAAAAATTAGTTTAACACAGTCAGAAATGAGCATAATTATAAAAGCTGACACATGGAACTAGAGAAGAGATGTGCCACAGGGGTTCTTACCTCAGAAAGATCACTTCAGACTTTACCTTCACCTTCAGGAAACGAGAGTGAAACATGTCTGATATTTTATGTTGGGTCTTGATGTTTTAAATCCAACCAGGGTGTGACGTAAAGAGTAAATTCTCCCATGTAGTAATTAGTTATCTGAAAGTAACGACTGTGACTTCATGAAAAGAAGGTATTTTAAACAAATATTAAACATAAACTTAATGAGCATAATTCTACAGTAGGTATATGTTGTTTTTAATATTTTTACTCTTAGGTCTACAGTCAGTCACCACAGACAAAATAAAGGTGATGTGATGACAAACAAATGACATGTATACATTTATAATACCTTAACCTCCTGAGACCCAAAGTACTATTTGGTGTGATTTAAAAGAAAAAAAGAGGAAGACATGTAAATAATATTCAACTTAAAGTCACTATTAAGTGTCTCCAAATAATAAAAAGAATGTTTAAGTTGAAGAGATGAAAATATTATAGTGCAGGGAGCCAATGTCTTCATATGTGGACACAGCATCTTAGCAGGTTAATATGTTACATCATGGGTCTGGGCCTCTCTGCTTAGGCTGCTGCCCCCGCAACCAGACTCTGGGAATGCAGATGAAGACTCTGGGAATGCAGATGAAGATATGTATGTATGTATGTATGTATCTATGTATGAATGTATGGATGGATGGATTGATGTACGGATGGATGTATGTATGGTCTGGGAATGCAGCTGAAGATATGTATGTACCGTAAATCCTCTAATACAGGCCCGGGCCTGTATTTGACTCAAGCTCATCAAGCTCCAGGCCTTTATTGGAAGGAGGGCCAGTATAAGAGGCAGGCCTCTATTTCTGTTTGAGCAAAATGAACTAATGGTTTGCTGGAGTTTTTGACAATTAAAATTGCGCCCACATTTTCAAAGTTAAACACATTTCTTTTAACAACGGTAGTTTCTGCTTCAGCCCTCTCCCCCCTCCCCCTGCGCAGCGGCGCAAACTCACTGATGCACCTGCAGCCTCTCAGTGTTCCTGCTGCTCTAAACATTAAAATAATTATTTCATTTTCTGTTCCTCACTTCTGATTACCTTCAATGGTGTCTGTTTGTTGCAACCACCAGGTACAAAAACTAACTTGTTTTTATTTGACTATTTTTCTGTCCTGTCTGTTTATTATCTTCCTGCATCTCCTCTCAATCCTAAAGAGAAACTGCTACCTGGGTTCATATATATTCACCTTATGAGTTACCTTTGAACTGCAGTTCTAAAAGATCTACCGACCGCAAAAACAGCGGAGTGCTCGCTGCTCACCGGCCGCATCAGTGAGGTGCGTCACCGGAGGACAAGGTGATGCGCCCCGCTCCACAGCGAAACGCATCAGGCGCAAATAAAAGACAGAAAACATCAAAGGAAATGAACCGACATGAACGATCGCGTGTTAAATTAGTTTTTGAGGCGGCGACACCTGATTGTTACTCTTTCATCCATCTGATGCGGCTCTCTGTGCTTGTAAAATAATGAATGGATATTTAAATAAAATGCTTTATATTTTACTGCATTAATTTTACATCTGTAAGCCAATTCTAAATGTAAAGATTTTCTGCGTAAACCTGAACAGGTCCAACCCGGTCTTACTGTGAGACCGGGTTGACGCGTCACGCTTGTGCGTAATCATATCGGCGCATTCTGAGCTGAAGATGAGATTCTGGGATTCTCCTCAGCTCCTGGATGTGTCGCCACATTGGAGACAGGAACAAGCGCTGTTCAGCCAAAGTTTCATAATCAGGGAACATTTTCTAAGTGACAAGTCTCGCTTCAGTCGGAGGAATCTTCCTGCATGCGATCTGGTTGTGCGACGTGTTCCAAGCCCCTCTCCACATCTTCAGCTCACTGTGTGCTGTACGTACGCGCTGACAGCGAGCTGCGCTGAGCTCAGTGTCCAGCTCAGATGGGAATCATTTCATGAGTGATTTAGCTACATCTGCGCGAAACGAATAAAGTGTCAGTTCGTCTGCATGCGTTGGGGTAATTCTTTCTATTCTTTCTCCGTCAAAATAAATAGTCAAATACGGGAACTATCCGGTCAACACAACACAAGCCCTGCTTTTAACTGTTCTGTTTTCTTGTGAAAATTGTTGCAAAGAGATAAAATTAAACTTGATTAACACCAGAGCCAGGCACACTGCGCCGTTGTCTCCGTCACTGTAAATGAGGGAAAAACAAACTGATCGGATCCTTTTCTGACCTTCCCTGCCTACAAAGTTTAATTACAACAATCAAACGTGACAGAGCCTGGATTTGTATTCTGAACAGTCTAAACATGTTTTAAAAAGAAACGTATGACAAAAGTGGCACCTGCTCAGTAAAACCATCAACAGGGTGAAAAATATCAAAATATTGTCGGCAGAGACGGGCTACAACTTCTGGATCCATTTTATATAAATCGTTTTATTGATTATCTTCTTATGAAAGATAACTTTGATGTACACGAGCGACCGGTACCGGCTGCTGTCACCTGTTGTGAGCAGCTCTCTGCTGTCTGATGGTAGGCCCCGCCCACAACGCCGCGGCTGCTGCGGTGTTTTCTTTATTGTGGGAAATGGGTAATAATGGCTCTTTGATGGGAACAGGTTGCTGACCCCTGCACTATAGTGAAGTTGACTAGTTCATACAACCCCTGCTACTGCTCCCCAGAGTGTTCTGCAGCATAATCAGCACGTTTTCTTTGAACTTGATATCAAATTTTCGCCTCCTCTTCGTCTCCGCACGGTTAAAGTTACCCTCGCGGTCTATCACTGGCAAATCAAAAGTGAGACGATGACACAACCGCCCCCCGTACTTGCTTATTACCACATTCCACCCGGCCACAATACGAGACCGGCCATTATTCACCTCCTCTGACTCAGACACCGGCCAAAATTGGAGACCCGACCTTTAATTGAATACCGGCCTGTATTTGAGGATTTACGGTATGTATGCAGGGGCGTAGCACCAAATTCTGGGCCCTAGGTACAAGTCTTCTAGGTGGGCCCCCATGCTCAATTACTTAATATCTCTCTTACACATTTTTTGTCATGCTATAAGACAAGATAATAAATATGATCTTAGTTTAACCTCTATATTGAGCAAATACAAATGCCAGCATAATAAAAGTGAAATGCCCAGACTTCACATATAATTATTTTTATTTGCCAACAATGTGTTCAAACAAAAATCCTGGAATTTATTTTCCAGTAAATGCCCACTGACGGGTCTTCATGTTAGCAAAATCACTTATGAGATCTTTAAAGTCCAATCCTTTGGCTAATTGGCTTTCAATAGAAAGAAGAGCTAGGCTGTTCAGTCTATCCTGGGACATTGTTGATCTCAAATAATTTTTCACCAGTTTCAGTTTGCTAAAAGCCCGTTCACCCCCAGCAACAGACACAGGTAGTGTGCAAAATATCCTCAGTCCAATACAAACTTCTCCAAAAATGCTCTGTAATTGCATCCTGTAGATGGGATTAAGCAGCTCAAGAGGAGACCGAATGTGTGGAAATGTGGCACCATATATTGTTCTCAGGTGTAGCATCTCATTCTCAAATTCAGCTGTGAGATCCTTGTAATATTTTCTCATCAGTGCCTGGCATGATATCTTCATCTGCTCTTCAGTCATGTCTGTCATGGTTCATGATGTTAAGCTTTGCTGATATGTATTGATATATTAAATACATATGACATGAAATAAACCAGGTTCTCTCTGTGAATGTAATGTACTCTAAATTTTATAATCCCTGCATTATCAGCCAAATTATAAGATTGTCCGTTTTCAAGATCAAATATAAAGAAATTTAAAATAGGCTTAAAATATCTAACCAAGTCAATAACAATCCTCTAACACCAGTGTCATCATGCTATACGAAAAACAGTGACAGCTTCTCATTCCTGAGATTACCACGAATCCATCGATACCAAGTTTGTCCTGGTCCATGACTGGGAAGGAGCTGAAATATCCACACAGAGTGAACCTGTTTTTACTGCGAGGTCCGCAAATTAATTGGCGGCAGCCGCCCGCGATAATAATTCTGATTAATATATATATATTAATTAGTGTTTTCACTGATAACACTAATTAATTTATATTTGATCTTGATGGTGAAACTAAAGGCGTTTAACACTGAACACCTAACATGAATGCAGCTTCTGAGAGCTAGCTAATATCAGCTAAAACTGTGTTCTGCTGCTGCTGCTCACCGTCCTTCTACTTGCTTCTGTTCAATTTACTTTTTCTCCTTCTCCTCCTTTTCTTTTCTTTTCTGGAAGCCAGATTTCCCTTTCTTGGGAAAATGACATGACTGACTCTCCTGCCTCCAGCTCTGGCTGTCGGCATCTGCGATGTCTCATAGCTGTACATGCGGCAGTGCAGCCCCTGGCTGCAGGTGTGGACTAAACCACTTTGCACATTTTTAAGGGGTGATAGATGCCTCAGAGATTATTCAGTTATTATTTTTAAGGCGAAATTCTGTTTCTTAACCTCTTTATCCAGGTAAAGGGAAGTTTATTAAGACATTAAGTAAGTTGGGGGGAAAAACAACAACAATAAAACATTTTTATTCAAAGCTGTCTCAGGGCCCCTCCCTGCAGTGGGCCCTGGGTAAACGGTACCCTTACCCCCCCCAGTCCGACGCCCCTGTATGTATGTATGTATGTATGGATGGATGGATGAATGGATGGATGTATGTATGTATGAATGGATGGATGGATGGATTTTTTTATAGCTGTACTATGTTAGAACGTTGTTAACTCATTCACTGCCAGCCATTTCCTGATCACTAACGGCCTTCGCTGCCAGCGTTTCTCACCATTTTTACTGTTTTTTTAAGAGTCACAGAACGTTGCGCGCTAGCATGAGTTCGATGCCAAAACAACCAAAACAAAGAGGAGACTCACCTCTTACATCAGGAAGAAGCCCTGTGTTTCGAGCGTTATCCGTTCTTTCATAATCCGTTGTCGAATTGTGATCGGCAGACGCTTTTCCGGTTCGCGCCTCACTTTTTTTACAGGAACAGCCCAAAACGATCTCCAAACACATGGATGTGTTGCTTCCTGATCATGTGATCTGTGACGTATGCGGATGAAGATCGGCTTCAGGGCTGAGATGTGTGTTCTCTCAGCGCAGGGGCTCGTTCCGATGCTCAAACAGCAGAAAAATGCAAATGACGACTTTAGTCGTCATTGGCGGTGAACGGTTGGATCTAAAATGACGACTTTAGTCATCAATGGCAGTGAATGAGTTAAGAGGCAGGAAAACGTTTTTTTAAGCTAACTTGTTTTTCCAAATTTGCTACTGCAGCTTTAACAGAGACAAACAATGACGCCTAAGGAAACAACCCAAAGAGAACTATACGTTGAATGATGCTGATTTTTGATATGAGTGGTACTGACGTCCTTCTGAGCAGACCAAAATGCTCTTAACACATCAAACACCACTGCTGGAAAACCCAGCATAGACCAGCATAGTTGGTTACCAGCATATGTTGTGGAATTCTAGTCCAGCAAGGTAAACAGGTGATTGGATGCTGGAACTGCAAGTTTGACCAGCATTCCACATATGACCAGCATATGGTCCACAAGCCACCAGCTAAAACAGCACCAAAACAAAACGTATGCTGGTAACCAGCTACGCTGGTCTATGACGGTTTTTCCAGCAGGGATGGCAGCTTTATCAGTTAAAAATATTTTTACAGACTTAGTTAATCAGGCATGTCCCTAAGATTGTCAGAAGGCATGAATCATTTCAAAATGCTAGAATTTTATTTTGCCACGTGAACCTGGTTCAGACGCTGAATCTGTGTCACTGCTCCAGAACATCATCTCATATATTTTGCATCTGAATAATGTCGATTTTTTTTTATTTTCATGATCCTTAAATAAGATTTCAAATGAGCTATTAAAAAGAAAAAAAGTGCTTCTGTTTTATTTCTTACAGAATTTTATTTTTAAGTGATAGCTAGGCTTTTACACACACCGTTTTAACTTGATTTTTTTTTTGTGTGAAAAAGTTAATGTTTCACTGGTTGCATACAGCTGTTTAAATTAGCCAACTTTGGAAAAAAAAACACTTTTTGAGTCTGTCTAAAATCTGTTAAAGTTTTAATTTTCATTCACCCAAACAAAAAAGTCTCATTAGTTTGCAAAACAAAGTGACAAATGGTAAATGGCCTTTGCCTTCTTAGGGTTTTACAACCCGCCCAGTGCGCTTCGTAACGCAGTCAGTCATTCACCCTTTCACAAATTTACGTCAAATTTATGTCAATACATTTTTTACACAATTTAAAGGAGCAAATACAATAAAATGTATTAACTACAGTAATTGCATTTCTATTTCGAATTTGTGAACAAAGGGTCTTTGCACAAGTAAAATTTTAAATTTTCATGTGCAATTTCACTGATTAGGAGAAGATGCAAACATCATGGTTTTGCATTGCTTGGTTCTTTTCAAACACAGGGAAAAAAAGAGATGTTCTTTACTTTATTTTGCTAACATTTAGACTAATTACTATAGCCAGCATGGTTTTGGTTTATCTTTCTGATGAGACTCTAGCATTTCCCTCCAGGATACAATTTGTTTCCTGCTCTGATGTTACACAGCAAATAGTTTTTTAAATACTGTTTAAATGTCTTGTCTCGCAGGCCATACACAATGGGACTGATAAACCTGGGGAGAATGTGAGCAAAGATGTACCATACAAAACGTAATTCAGAAGCCAAGTAATTGGGCCAAGTAATTATCATATTTTTTACTATGGGATCGACATACGTAAGCATACAGAACAAGAGCTGAAAACCATGAAGCAGGATAGTATTTCTGGCTTTCTTTGCATTTCCATCAACTAAATTAACTGCTTGAGCTGTAAAGAAGATCTTTAGATAGATAAATAAGAGGGTGAACCAAACTATAGTTAAACTCATTATATAAGTAATGACCCTCTTTTGTAAACTTACTGGATGTCGAAACAGAATGTCTTTATCACAGTATGCTATGTAATAAAAGAACCATAATGGATCTGCTGCAAGATGAATAAATATATCAGGCACAATTGACATTGAGCTTAAAACCCAAATACAGCTGATCAAAATATATGTCCGTTTAACCGTGCAGAGCTCTGCATGCCGCAGTGGGAAACATACAGCAATGTAGCATTCCGCAGCCATGACAGCTAAATTTAATGGAGTGTTCTGGGTGGTGAAATTGGCTACAACGATAAAAAAACAACAGATGGAGGCATTCATATTGTAGAAAATGTAGCTAAATACATGCAGACTGATTGATGTAGTAAGTTGGATCATATCATTCACCACCAGATGGATGAACAGGATGTAACGAGGATTTGTGTAAAATATCTGAAAAAGGAAGAGAAGTTTTTTAAATGTAACTTTTATGTCTTTAACTTTGACTACTATTGGTGACATCTTATACATGATTTGTCTGATAACACAGAAAAAAATAAAAACAATTACAAACTGACCTGGTGTTTTCTGAAGGTGTGAAGTAGTGTGCCATTGATGTAGTTGATGACGAGGCCGAGAGCGATAACAATCACATTTCTAGTTACAGTTGTTTCCGTGGCGCCTCGATAAGTCAGACTACTGGAAACACTGACATTAACTGAAGAATTCATGAATTTGATGGGTTATCTTGTCCTTTGAATAAGGGAAAAATATGTGAAACACCACATAAGCTTTTTGACTTCACGGCTCTAAGCTATGTTGACAATTAAGGCATTAATAGCACACCCCTATAAACCAATCTTAAATTTGATCAAAATAAAATATAAATAAATAAAACGAATCAATTAATACCACAAAACAGATAAACCAATTTTGATATATCCAACTGTTATCCCAATGAAATATAAGCCATGTGAATTGGATTAGTTCTCTTTGCATTCGTAAACTGTCCTAAAAATCGAACCAAATCCAAGAAAAATTAATGTTCTGCAAAATAACAGATCGTTTTTTCCTTCCCTTTGTTCTTCTTCTGAGCAAAAATAGGATTTTTCCTACACACTTGTCTTCTTGATTTAGTTTATATATTGTAAATGTGAAAAAAAAATCACGACTCATCTTTACTCCTGTATAATTCCATGTCTACTCTTTTATTAACTGTATTTTCAACTTAAGTTACTAATTTACTATTTCAGTGACCACTAAACAATCCCAAAGATTATATAAACAATAAAAACATTATTTAATTTTTCTATTACTAAAATTATTTTCCTAATTGACAATTTTAATGGTAGATTTTCTGTAAAGAGGAGAAAACTCTAATGTGTTCAAAACATTTTCAATAAATTACAGCAACTAGGAATATTTTTAAATACTTGATTCAGCCTCTCAATATAGGCACTCCAATATATGCATAATTAAGAAATTTAACACAACTAATAGTCAGAAGAAACATAAACAGTTATTTCGCAAGTCAAGCCAAGCTGTAAAACCGAACAATGGAATTATGGAGCAGTTCTCACCTCAGAAAACTTCAGACTCCACTTGCCTTCAGAACACGAAGGTTAACGACGTGTGACGTTTTTCTTGTTTGATCTTGATCTTAAAGGTCCTGCCAAATTACAGCGTGAGAATAATATTCTCCTATGTATCAATTATGTGACCGGAAAAAACACTGGAAGTAATGTTACTTTTTTTCATCTTCAGTTATTCAGCACTAGTAATGCCTGATGACATCATATTGAGTCCATGCAGACATCATTAAAAATAATATCTGGTCCAGGGCTGAAATACAAATAACAGAAACGAAAAGACTGTTTTGAATGACAGGATTACTGTTAGTTACAGGTGAGTATTCACAGCCCCCCCCCCCCCCCCCATTTTGGACCAATCCTAATACTTGCACTGCACCCTACAGTCTTCAGCAAAGTGCACTTGGAGGATGTGCAGAGTAAGGCTTATAGTGCGTAGTCGACTTGAACTTTATTTATATATCACTTTACAGACAAAAACATGCCACCAAAATGCTTCACAGATACAGGCAAAAACACTTAAAATCTACCTTAAAATCAGTAAAACTACACAAGCAAATAAATCCATGAAATAAAAATAAAAATAGCATCACTATTAATCACCCCACAGATTTAACAGCCATTTCGTAAAAATGGGTCTTCAGCTTGGATTTAAAAACTGCTACAGAAGAGGCCTGCTGAATATGTAATGGAAGCCCATTCCAGAGTTTTGGAGCTGCCGCTGAAAAAGCTCTGTCCCCCTGCATCTTCAACCATTTCCTTGGGACCATGAGCAAAGACAGGTCCTCTGAACATAGTGCCCGAGAGGGAACATACAACTGCAGCATGTCTGCCAAATATGCTGGAGCCAAACCATTAAGAGCTTTAAAAGCGAATAAAAGAACTTTAAAACAGATCCTTACCCATGTATGTCTGATCTCTGAATTGTGTGTACTGAAACTCAATTTCATTTCTCTGAATGTCTTGCACAGGCAGACAGTGTAGACCTGCCAACATTGGTGCAGCATGTTCAATCTTTTGTCTGCCGTCCAGAAATGTCCCAGCAGCAGTCTAGACAAGGCACAGACGATCTAAGGCACTCTGACTCACTTCAGATGGGACAGAGTTACAAAGTCAAAGTCAGTTTTATTGTCAATTCTACCACCTGTGCAAGACATTCAGAGAAATGAAATTGAGTTTCAGCACACAATTCAGAGATCAGACATACATGGGTAAGACACATGACAAGAATTCGTGACTGTGGTCCTTCGCAGCATGAGTCGCGCTACCTTAAAAGATGAAAAGTGAATTACATGAGGATAAATTGAGGGTAGGGAAAAAAGGGCATACCAGAGTTACTCCCGGTAGGGAGTAGCTTTACTTTGCAAAAAAATGGCTCAAACATACAAGCACGAACATCACAGTTCACAACATGAGACTCCGATAGGGAGGCGGGGGGGGGGGGGGGGGGGGGCTGGGATCCTGTTTCCCCAGCGGGAGCAGCCCTGTGTGGCGCTCAGCCAGCTGTATCCACAGGAGGGAGGGAGATCTTGGGAGGAGTGCAGAGCACATTTGAGTTCCTGCAGGTTGATGACCTGGTTTTCACATCATCTGTCTGCGTTCCTTCCTTCGTGGGGGTTGTTGTTAGCAGCTCAAGGCTGCCTTGGCGTCAGATTCGGATAACAAGACTTTGTTTGGGTCAGGCAGAGATAATTTTCCTCTCTGCCTTGAAGTCTGTATTGATCATTCAAGTCCTCCAGTGAAGCCAATTTAGGTTCTAATCATCCCCACACCGTCCCGTGACCCTCTCCGAGATGACATCCATTTTGTGCCCTAATACCAGTAACGCAGCAAGGACATTGTCCAGCTTACGATTCACCTTGAGTAACGCCCCAGTCTGTGAGATCACCGCCCGGGCGGTGCCTTCCGTGGGTGAGGGTCACCCTCCAATCACTCCCGTCTTCCCAAATTTCCAGAAAACCAGATATCCTCCCACTCCAATCAGAAGAAATCCAGTGATCATCAAGCCAAATATCCACATGTCTTCGACATCCTCAATGGACAACTGAGAGAGGCGTACGATCCTCCAGACCTTCCAGGAATCGCCCCTGGAGGGCAAGTGGGAGCCCCCTCCTTCTCATCGTAGAAAAGATCTTATCAATCGCGTTGAATGACCAATTAATTAAATCCATTTCCAAAAAAATAGGGATTTCCAGAAGAAATGCAGAGAAGCGCTCTGTAGACAGGACAAAGAGCCTTGGGAAAAAAAGATAAGGGAGCAAAAGCAGAAGCGTCTGTACTCTGCGAGTGCCGGAAGTACGGAGCAGTTCTCGCTTCTCACCAGTGGTCCAGGCGTGAAGTTATGCATGCATTCACAACTGTTTCCCGATCATGTCTAGATGAGTGGTTTAACCTTAGCCAAGCATCTTAGATGAAAGATTTCTAAATTATAATTTTCATTTTAAAAGGCATTCAACTGGCCATAGACACATCTTTCCATTACTTCACTTAAAAAGGACGCTTAGAGATTGACCTAAGATGCATCTAACCCAGGTTTCTTTGAGAGTGGATGAGTGACCACTCTTAAAAGCATTGGCACAACATGAGAAACCAGAATGGTATTGATTATAGCAACATAAGTGTGGTGGGAGCAAAAGAGAGGACTGGTTATTATATTTCAAGGTTTTTATTGACAAGTTATCCCTAAACATATCTACGAAAGGGTTTTTGTTCCCAATCCTAACATAATAAAGAAGTAAGTCTTTTAATAGGCTGGTCTTCACTCATATAATATAAATACCTAACCCAGGGAGTAGGTATGGTTAAGCTTCTTGTGGTGTCCCTTTTTCAGTACTCAGAAGCTCAAAACAGATTTAGAGTCTCGCTCTCCCCCTTTTAATGGCTCTAGGTCAGTGGTTCCCAACCTTTTCCCAAGGGACCCCTTTTTTACCAGTAAAATTTTTGACGACCCCCTCCCATTCTCTCTTCCAGTACAAACAGTGTTAAGAAATGATAGAATTGTTCAAGCACATTTTAATATGCTTTGATTCAATAGATAACAGTAATAGTAGGCTCCAGTACAGAACAAAGTCATTAACAAAACCAAACTGAGCATAATGTGCTTGACAGTTTGTATTACTTTTCTGAACACATTGTTTCTTGTAAACACTGATAAATCAATCATTCCTTTCAATAAACGTTTGACACATAAAAAATACACTGAGCAAAATGTACTTATATGTGTATATTACTGTTTATACTAGATTATTTACTGTAAACGCTGTGATTAATCAACCAGTCCTATCTTTAATGAACTTTTGACACTTGAAAATAAAACAGTGAGCTGAGCAAAATGTTCTAGTGTGTTACTTTTTTCTGTACTAATTATTTCCTGTCTTAATATCAGTAAACTTTGCACTCATGAAAAAAAATGTGAGCAAAATGTAGGCAATAAACAAGTAATAAATGAAGTTTTAACCCCTTAAAGTGGAGAGGTCCTGGCGACCAACTGAGAGGCTTTGGCGCCCCCTTGTGGGGGTTGGGACCCCCAGATTAGGAACCACTGCTCTAGGTCATCATCTCCTGGCAGCATGGAACCTCGTCTCAGTCCGCGGCTAGTTGAAGGAAGTAGAGAGGAAATCTTCTCCCTCAGGCTGCCTTTTGGTAGCGGCTTCTCTCCATTCTGTGTCTGTCTCCTTTACTTGGCTGTCTGTCTCGACCATATCCTCCTCTGCACTGCCGCTAGGGGGTGTGCGAGGTGAAAAGTGTAATGGCTGCGGAGCTTAGAGAAGTCTGTCACATGTTACCATTAGCATAGCCAGAAACTCATTTGTGGGTGTGTCGCGTGCCCGTCCCATTTACTGGTTCCGTTAAAACCCAGTTCCGTTAGAACTTATGAGACGGTGCATCCATCAGGGTTCGAGGGGATGTCGGCGAGTATAATTGTTCTAGATCCTGGTTTGGACCATCTAATTAGAATCTTGTCTTTTATTTTAAAGGTGAAATGACTTGCACGAATAGCCAGCCCCAGAGTACTACACTTCTTTTAAACTCGTTACCTTTTGGTTAAGATACTAGAGAGAAGTCTGGAGGCAAGCCAAGCCTCTCAGCAATTGTTTGGGCTACCCGGAATTAATTGCGCCTCTAACAGTTTATGTGGGAGGTTGGTAACTATAAAATGATTTATGCTAGTTGATCAGGCTATCATAAGTTTATCAATTTATTTATTAATCCAACCTTCCAGCTGATTAGAGACTTTTTCAACCTGCAATCAGAGCCAAAATAACCTCGAATATTTTACTTTTATCGCCCTTAAGACAACTCGTTACTCGCAAGGAGGGGGAAGTTAAAACTTCCCTTATCTTAAGGTTTCTTTATATGATTCTATTATAAACTGTAAAGTAAGTCCCGATAATTCAGAGACCGATCATCGATATGCTTACCTCTGTGCAATTTATGGCCAGGGCCCCAAACGTGAAGCTTTAGAGAAAACCTGAAAGAATCAGGATAATGTTTCTTTTTCAAAAAAGGTTTATTACAAAATCAAAATACAAAAATGGGTAAAGTGAAAAACAACTGCTATCCCCCACGGAGGAATTAGTTCAAAATGATTAAATAAGAGTTAGTTTACACTAGCTCTTTTCTTCTCAGAATCTCCCCAAGAACTCTCTCAAAAACTCCCCTTCCAAAAAAGTCTGTCATCCCCCATCCAGGTTTGGATGGGGGATGACCCCTCCAAATCTGCTCTGTCTCTTCTTGTCCTCTGCCCCAGCTGCTGTCGAATCTCCGAATCTATTTCTGCTGTTCAGAGCTGTTCTTATATACCCTTCCTGGACCAGCTTAAGGTCATGGGGTAATTTACCAGATACACACTTTGTAGCTCAACACAAAACATTTGGTGTCATTTTCACTACATGCAGCATTCTTCTTAACACAGGTCATTACATCATCTTTTGCAGCATTCTTCAGTTTCTCTCCAATGTTCCCGAGAGGGCTTCTGGATCTGATGGGCTTGTCTTCACTCTGTTCTCCTCCAATCCCATCTTTCCAAGCCAGGGGTGGGGCAAAGAGGTTGGGTCAGTCAACCTGACCTTTTGCCCAGTTCTGTCCTCTCGTCCCTGTGACCCTTGTGCGACCCTTGTTTCTGACCACAGTTTTTTTGACCTGCAGCCCAGCTCCTGTCGGCTGGCTGATTTTGCTCGCACAAGCCAGTCCAGTGTGGCTCACCTTTTGACCCTGTACTTGCCACTGTCTTTGGCATGTGGGGACTCGCAACAGGTGGGCCTAAGAAAAAGTAAGTGGGACCAATAAATGTAATTGAAAACAAGTATATTTTGTGTGTGTGTGTGTGTGTGTGTGTGTGTGTGTGTGTGTGTGTGTGTGTGTGTGTGTGAATGTGTGTGTGTGTGTGTGTGTGTGTGTGTGTGTGTGTGTGTGTGTGTGTGTGTGTGTGAATGTGTGTGTGAATGTGTGTGTGTATTTCTGTACTTTCTCCGCTAGACGTTCCTCGAACTGGTCCATATCTACTTCTTTACCACACACGACTCCTGCACTGTTGACAAATTTAAAGGAAATGGCATCATGACGGAAGTGATCTCAGGTTTCTGGACCAACCAATCACAAGCTTGCATAATCCGTCTCCTTCGACGGATGTTTAAAAAAGTGGGCTAGACTCCATACGTACTTGCGTGCCTGCCGGGGCCCTACGCAAGGACGGATAATGGCATTGCGTGTCTCCGCACTGACGCAGACGGAGAAGCATGACTCAGGCTTGAGGCTTTCAGCCTGAGACATGTCCTGTTTGACCACTTTCTTAGAGAACAAAGGCCTGCTGTGTTGAGTGGCTGATCCCAAACTTCTCACAAAATACAGCAACCCACAAATTTTGACCATTTTCAGTCCGGATCCTTCTTGCCTTGACCTGACCTTCCTTTGTCTGTGGCTCAGACCTTGGATGGCCTAGTTAGAGCCTTTCACCATTTTTGGCTGTGGTCCTGCTGGTTTCTGTCTGGCCCTTCCTGGAATCAGCTGGTTTCTGCCTTGTTTTATCTGCTTCTGTTAGCCTGAACTGGGCTTTCCATCATTTTCAGACTAGATTGCTAGTCCAGCCAAATTTGCTTGAGACTGCTGACCCTGCTTGGATCATGACACCTTCCTCTTTTGCACCATGGCGCAATAGCCGGTTACTACCAAGTGAAGTGAAACAAATGCCGCAAAATTCTCGTAACGCCATGCCGGCATGGTGCGTTTTTAAGACACAGCATTGCGGTAACATTACGCCGATGTGCCAGCACGGTATGTCTTGTAAAAAGGGCTAGGTGTTATAGTTTTTTACAGATGCTAGGACTCATTTCTCAATACTTAGGCAACTTTTGCAAAACTTCACACAATTCTCCTAACCGACATTCAGGCAAATAAGTTAATTTCACATTCAATATGCACTCCAACTACCAAAACACTTTATTCAGGTCTCAAATAAACACTTTCTTCCAGAACACTAGCAAAGGTTGACAGCTGACAAGCACACTTTGCCACTCTCAAAACATGTAGCATCACACAATGTTTTCTTGTGTAGAACAAGGACACATCTTTGTTCCAAATTGCAATACATATTGTAAATAACTGCAATATATGTTAACGGAATGAATTAGGCATGATGCAGAATTCGTCAATATGTTATGTTCGTTACGCTGAGGATTGGACCCAAAGTGCAGGAAACCCAGAACGACACTGAGAGCTTGAGTTCAGAAACAATAATCCTTTATTCAGGAGGAGTTGCGAAAAGTCCAAAGGGCTTGAATCTAAGCCTTGCATACAAAAACGCTAGAAGCCAAAACGAAAGCTCAAACCTATGAGCAGGAGCCTAGAGAGCACAAGAGGAGTAATGCTGACTGGGTACGGTGGCCAGGGTACACCATATGATTCTTTCAGCTTCGCTGTTTGACGCGCCTGAAACCGGTGTTGAAACAGTCTCACTTGGAATCTGTAATTTTTGCATTCATTACATCACGGTTTTTAACCAGCAGGCATAATCATATCACACCGGTTTTATCTCATCTCCATCGGCTTGCTGAATGATCTGGCACCCAGATGTCTGTCTGAGCTGCTTAAGCTATATGTGCCAATGCACCCGCTGTGGTCAATCCCATCTAGTGGACAACTGATCTAATTGCGCATATGTAGTCATCATCCATTTGTTGTTATCGAGTTGAACTTGTCAATATACAGTGATATTAATTTTAACCCTTTGATGCATGAATTATGAAATATTCAACCATGATTTTTTGAACAATTTTTTTCATTCATCTTTAGCTGTGAATGAAACAAATTTAATATTTACATATTTTTTGTAACATTTAATTTACAAATTATTTATTACATGTCCATTCTGAACATGAAAAATCTTGGCTTGACTTACTGAAGTCCAAATGGAGAGGCTCAAATGCAATAAAGTTTTCAACAGCTGTGCTTAATAGTAAAGATAAATAAATTACAATTCTGAGTACCTGTCCACTGTAGTGACCATTATGCATCAAAGGGTTAAGCCATATCGCCTAGCCCTATGTCTATCAAAGTCGTTTCCTTGGCCAAGACAGTTCACCTGACTTTCCTGCTGGTGGTCAAAGGGACCGGTGGTCCTGGATACAGCAGCCTTGCTTCTATCAATATGCACCAGGGCAGCTGTGGCTACATTGTAAGACAGGAGTGTCAAACTCAAATTCACACTGGGCCGAAATAAAAATCTGGGACGAAGTCGCGGGCCAAACTTAATATTTTTTGAAAAAGTGACAGCAAATTTGTACATTTTCTTTATCAACATATATGCAATTTTGAACCTTTTAATTTGGAAACAAACTTTTTTTTGCATTAACACTGAATGTGGAATAACCAAATTACACAAGAAAGTCAGTTTTAAATGAAACGCATCAGCAGCATTCATTACTTGTGGTATATTCAGCCTTTTTTAAATCTATTCAGGATTTATGTTTTCTTGTTGTTTAATCATTTTTCTCATTTTTTTATTCTCCTTTTTTTCTCCTGTAAGAACTGTCATCTCTACTGTGACATCTAGCTTTCCCCACTGAGGAACAATAAAGGGATTTTCTATTCTATTCATCTATCTGCAGTGGTTCAGTTCCGTTTTTACTGTAGGTTAAATATTTTCTCACGGGCCAACAACAAAATAAAAATATAAATTTATCTTAAATGAAATACAATATCTCACCTGTTAACTTTCATGTTTTGGAGCAGAAAAAGAGCATAAAACCAAAATATTTAAAGCTCAGTTTGCTCCACTGATTTACTGTGATGCTCACCTGTTCCAGCCAGATACCTGCATCATGGGGTTGATCTGAGCTGAGGAGGAGACTCCTGTTGTTTTGTTCATCTTCATCATTATAATGACAACATTAGATGACAACAGGTGCTCACATAGGTTTGTGCTGCTGAACATGGAGAGCGTCTGAGCAGCTTGAACACGTTGTTGTGTTTCGGGGAGGAAAAATAAAAACTACAGCAGCCACAGAGTCATGCTGATTTGAGTGTGTTGCTGCTCGCTGGAGTTATATCAGCTCTGTCTGGAAGTTGGTTGGAAAACTTTCTCTTTCAGTCGTGAACACATTACTGAGCGGTTAAAATCTCAGTTTCTGGGCTTCAACGTCGGCAAAGAGCTGAATAATACTCGGCGCTGAGTGAGAGGAGTGTTTAGTTTGTCCGAGACAGCGGAGCTGCAGACACCGGCAGCAGACGCTGGAAAAAACACAAAGGAGGGGGCGCTTTGGCGCTGCGCTAACGCCGCAAATCATCATGGGATTTGTAGTCTTTGCGGTAAAATCGGCAAGCAGGTCAGTTTTAATCAATTTTATATTTATCTCGCGGGCCACATAAAAATGCTCCACGGGCCAGATGTGGCCTTGTGTCTGACATATATGTTGTAGGATGTCATTGCCTGTGTGTGAATGTGCATATGTGAATGACTGGTTAGTTGTAAAGTGCCTTGGGGGGTTTAGAACCATAGAAGACTTTATATAAACAAAGGCCATTTACTATTTATCAGTGTATGTTTATTCTTTTGGAGTCATATGCTGCATTCCTAGTCTAGTCTTTCTTTGCGTTTGTATTTTTAACACCTTAATCTAACTGGTGATGAAGGAGGAGTGATTAATCACTAAATGAAACTGTGTTCCTAGTTGCTTTCCCTGCCTTCCAGAGAACAAATGCTGATGTTCCAGACAGGTCACTATATTTTAAATATAAAGCCCACTCCTCTTTATAACTTATGATAAATCTTCACCTTAAACCTGCTTTAAATAGGCATGATTACCTTCTTATTCACCAGAGTTTAAGAAACAAGCATGATAGCTGACAATTAGTGTATCGCAGTGTCAGAAATGTCACATGTCAACATCTGCTTTTTTCTTTCAAATTTATCACTGTGGATGCTCAACAGTATGTACACAGCATTAGAAAAATAATGCAAAAATGACAGATTTGGTTGATATTCAATTCAATTCAGTTTATTTATATAACACCAAATCACAACAAGTCATCTCAAGGCACTTTACACAGCAAACATTCCAATTGAACCTTTTTATCAGTGCATTGAGTTAAATTCACTTAAATTTTTAGTTACGTTTCCAATGGAAGGAAACCCAGCTGAATGTGTTGGGTCACTGACGTGTGTCACTGACTTTACAGCAATCCCCATACTAAGCAAACATGTAGCAACAGTAGAGAGGATCATTAGAGCACTAGCTGGGGTTTCCTTCTGTGATACAGTTTATTGCTTGCTCTGATGTTACAGAACAGATAGTTTTTCAAACACTGCCTAAACGTCCTGTCTCGTAACCCGTACACAATGGGACTGACAACCCTGGGAAGAATATGGACAAAGATGAACCAGAAACATTGTAATTCTATAAAATATTGAGGAACATTGACAAAGTGTTTTTTAATCATAGGATCCACATACGTTAGCATGCTCAACAGAAGCTGAAAACCGTGAAGCAGGATTGTATTTCTGGCCTTCTGTTCTGAATTAGCTGAATTAGCTGCTTGAGCTGCAAAGTAGATCTTCAAGTAAGTAAAGATCAGAGTGAACCAGACTATTGTTAAATACAATAAATAAATTATCTCTTCTTTTTGTACACTGACTGGGTGACTGAACAGTTTATCCTTGTTACATATTGGTATTGAATTAAACAGCCAGAATGGATCCTTTGCCAAATAAAAAAACATGTCCGTCATAAATGACAGTGAGCTAAAAACCCAAACACAACCAATCACAATATATATTCGTTTATTGGTGCAGAATTCAGCATATCGGAGAGGAAAGCATACAGCAATGTAGCACTCCACAGCCATTAAAGCTAAGTTTAATGGAGTGTTGTGTGAGGTAAACAAAGCAACAACAATAAAAAGACAACAGAGGGAAACACTCATATTGTACAAAGTGTAGCTAAAGACAAACATGCTAACTGATGTAAAAAGATATATCGTATCATTCAGCACCAGATGGATGTACAGGATGTAACGAGGATTCATGTAGAATATCTGAAAAAGACGAGAAGTTGCTTATTTTATTACTTTGAACCTTAAACTTGATCTTAATCCATTGCCAATGACATTTCATAAATTATTCCACTAATAAACATGAAACAAAAAATATGCTGACCTGGTGTTTTCTGAATGTGTGAACCAGTGTGCCATTGATGTAGTTGATGATGATGCCAAGAGCAACAACAATCACAGTTACAATTGTGCTCGTGGTGCCTCGATAAAGCAGACTGCTGGAAACACTGTGGTTATAAAATGAAGAATTCATGGAGGTGATGAAATCTTCTGGCCTTCAAATAGGAGAATATGTTAAAATGTTGCATTTAATTGTGAAACGTTAACACTGTTCTATTTCTATTCCAAGATCACAAAATCACAGGAACACGCTGTATTTTTTTCAGTTCATGCGATATCTGTATCCTACGGATAGTATACCAAACGGTCTGTGGTTTAATTTCGGTTCTGTTACTGGAAAAAAACATACTTTTTTTCTTTTCAAGCAACTGGAAATCTGCACATGACTTCTTTTTTTAAGTTTCGAGATGCTTTACACTGCTTTCGTTTTTGACTTCCTGTCTGGCCCTATCTTAACTGTGGAGCGTTCTGGAAGCGTAGTGTGTAAAAAATAGACTCAAAGCGTAAGTAATGTGTCAAGTAGGGGTGTGCGGATTTACAATGAAATATTGAATTTGATTGATTGCGTATAACATTTTTTTTTGAGGTGGTGACACTTTGTGAATGGTATTGCGGTTGTGCTTAGGACGCAGCTGTCTGGAGGGCATCAACGATCTACGCCTTTCCGTTCAAATTAATCCAGATGAAACCACAGTTTGCATGACAAAAGCATCTGGGACTGCTTCCAGCCCTGACACATCCTTAAGAAAAATAAAAGTCATTATTGAATAAAACTACAGAATAAATGTGGATAAGAAGAGAAACATATTGAGCTCATAGTTTTGAATGATGTTAAAGCCAAAATAAACAGATTCCTTTTTCTTTGCATACTGGCCCAGCTCCTTGTGAATTGATGTGGTTAAAACAGCAATGTTGTAACTTCTAACTTATTAAATCCTGTTAAACAAACATCTGTTTGTTTGCAGTATTAACAACTCAAACACTTTCATTGAATTATAGCAACTTGTGGTCTTTTGAATTAGAATTAGAATTGGTTCAACACTTCAATGGGAGAACTAAAATAAATACCTAATTTAAAAGTTTAATATATCTAATAATCACAGCAAACATAAAAGTCATTTCACTTGTCATGAAGCTTTTCAGAGTGAAAGTTGAAACAAGGAACTATAAAAAGAGCTCTTACCGCAGACCTTTTCAGTCTCCACTTCGACCTTCAAAAAAGTGAGAGAAAATCATATCTGATGCTTTATGTTTGGTCTTGATCCTAAAGGTCCTGCCAAATTATGACGTGCAGATAAAATCCTCTCAGGTCTTAATAAGTTGACAGTGAGCAACTGAATCAAGCAGCAATGCTTTTTTTAGTATTGCCTGGCAACATTATAGTAGGTCCATACAGACATCAGTAATACCTGGTCCAGGGATGAAACACAAATAATTAGAGCATTCAAGAAGTTCAGACTCCAAAAAAATTCTAGTTTTAGATTTCGTTGACCATAAATATTTTATTGAAAAATTGCAAAATAAGAAAAAGTATGTTTTTTTTGTTTTTATATCAAAAGTTGATCAGTGATTACAAGGCTTTAAAGAACAAACACTTCTCCAGTTGTACATACTTTTAAGTGAGAATTTGCAAAAAACTGAGATTATCTTTGGTTTGTTCTTACTGTGTTTATTTTCTAACTGCATTGTTGGTTCTTTTTTAAAACACAGAAAAGGTTTCTTTTTTTTTTTACCTTGCTGCTGATAGTTTCGTTTGCAGCTGCGAACTTCCTCAGAGCTGACGCTGATGGTGGCGTCACGTCCTACGTCGTTTATCCACGGGCAGCAGAGGATGTTGTTGCCCTCTGCTGCCTGCTCTCCCTCTCCGAGGATGCAGTCCCATGCATGATCCAAGTAGGAAGTGACGCCATCATCAGCGTCAGCTCTGAGGACGTTCGCAGCCTCGATGGAAACTGTCAGCAGCAAGGTAAAAAAGAAACATTTTCTGTGTTTTAGAAAGACAACCAACAATGCAACTGAGATTAGTCTTGGGCCTCCATTAATATTTTTATTAAATGTTGCATTTTGCATATAGTACTTTATCTTCTATTTTTTGCATAGTTGTTTAATGTACCCCACTTCCAAGAGGGGGCTCAGAGGAAGACTTTTCTTGATGGACTGTGAATGTTGTGTCTGATAGGTATGATGGTAAATGGCCTGTATTTGATATAGCACCTTCTAGAGTCCTGGTATCCCCCAAGGCACTTTATAACACAACCAGTCATTCACCCATTCACACACACATTCACACACTGGTAGGGATGAGCTACGATGTAGTCACAGCTACCCTGGGGTGCACTGACAGAGGCAAGGCCACCGAGCACTGGCGTCACCAGTCCCTCTTAACCCACCAGCAGGCAACGTGGGTTAAGTGTCTTGCCCAAGAACACACTGACAGCGACAAACTGAGCAGGGATCAAACATGCAACCTTCCAATTACGGGGCAAGCACTTAACTCCTGTGCCACCATCACCCTAATATGACTACAAACATGTACAGACCAACTTGTTTTTTCAATACAGGGGTCTTTAGTATAAATGAATGCCTATTGAGTCGATTTCTGTGGTAAAACAGCTCGTGCTCCTGTTGCAGGAAGAAGAGGTGAGTAAGAGCCGACTCACTGACCCACTATGCTAAATTAACAACATCCTTCCTTTTTGCTGGTCATGTAAGTCCATAAAAGTCTAATTTGACAATATGACATGTCTCTTGAGTTTCTAAGTGGAGTTTTCTAGTCTATTTTCTATTAATGCTTAATACAGGAAATAGCAAGGGCGTCAATTGCTTTTTGAATCTAGTAGGGACAATATACATAGACATGAGTGTGGCTTGAAGAGTGGCAACATTTGATGGCTCAGATTATCATTTCTAATTATTTATATATAAATGTTAGTTTGATGTTTAATTACAATATGCACAGTGGTGAATTGATGGTGATAAAAATCTGAGCTTAATTCTATGAAACAGGGACAGCAGTAGCTCAGGAGGTGGTTTGTCCAACAAGTTTGATCCCAGCTCCAACCAGAGAATGCTGCTGGTGTGTCCTTGGGCAAGACACTTAATCCTATCCCCGGTCTGAGGGAGCGGTGGCACCAGTGTTCGGCAGGCCTCGCCTCTGTCAGTGTGTGCTAGGGCAGCTGTGGCTACATCGTAGCTCATCCCCACCAGCATGTGAATGGGTGGATGACTAATTGTGTTGTGAACTGCCTTGGGGGGTTGCAGAAGCCTAAGAAGGCCCTAGACTGGGGTAGGCAACCCTGGTCCTAGGGAGCCGCAGTCCTGCTTGTTTTCCAACTATCTTTGTTGTTCCTACTTTTGATTACCTGGATCAGGTGTGGCGTGGATCAAGTCCAGATTGCCTCTCTCCTGGGTTACGACATGCCTCTTGCCTTCTGGCCAGTAACCAGTCGGCCTGAACTGGTTGATCTGCTCACTCGGGTTCCGTAGTCAGTCTACGTCATGGGGCAATCTTGCCGTCCATGCCCAGGGGGGAGTTGGTTCAGTGCCAGAAGCCGTCACCTGCTGACTGTGGTCCTGCTGCGCCATCGTCCTTTCGGGGTTCTCTCCAGCATAGGAGAGGTTGCAGTCGCCGTGGTGCTGGGGTTGGCAAACCTGTCCTTTTCTCCCATCCTTGGGCCGCTAGGTGGTCCTCAGCCAGGGTCACCGCAGCTGTCACATCCATAGGCCAGTGACACTGGATCCACTTCCTGATCCCGCTCAGCATCACCTCGATGAACTGTTCAACGATCAGCATGTCCAGTATGTCCTGCTCCCCTTCAGACTTTAGACTGCCCCGAGGTGGAACCATCGGCACGCTACATCCTAGAGCAGCTGCACAAAGGCAGACAGTCTGTCTCCCATTCCCAGCCTGGCCTCTCTGAATCTGTGTCGGTCCTCCACCATGTATCCAGCCCGGTCCAGTATGTCACACTTGACGTCCCTGTAGCCGTGGGACATGGTAGGTAGGCTTGCTGCCGCAGCCTGCGCTTCTCCTGTCAGCAAGGAAGTAGGCGAAGACCTCACCCTTTTGCCGGCCACCGGTATGAGTCTGCAACAGCCTCAAAGGTGCCCCCTGCCCCCCCTCTAAAACTATGTCTATGCCAACATTATCTGACCCAACACTGTGACCGGCACTGGCGTTGTGTTGCGTCCCGGCTGCTGCATGGACGGAGTTGGTTGGCACCGATTTCTGGGCTTGTGGGTGCCAAATGTAGCAGTCTTAGCTACTCCGTGGCACGCGCGCGCACACACACACACACACACACACACACACACACACACACACACACACACACACACACACACACACACACACACACACACACACACACACACACAACCCAACACAGTGTTCACTGCCACACAACTTTATTAACCTGCTCAGGGAATAGCGAAGTTGTCACGCTCCTCAGCAGACTCTGAGCTACACAGGCTCCTCACTTCTGCTTCTTCTCTCTCCTTCCCTCTGCAGACCTAACCCTTATAATCATCCTCCGGCTAATTGTCAATTGGCACCTGGTGCGCATTGTTGGGCTGCCAATGGCCCCTACCTCCAGCTCTTTGTCACACACATTTCGGCCGTTTGTGTCCACGATCTCGTTCTTTTGGTGACTTCTCAGAACTCATGACCATAGATAAGAGTTAGAACATAAATTGACCGGTAAATTCAGAGCTTTACCTTCCAACTTAGCTCTTTATTTACCACAACAGACTGGTACAACGGCTGCGTTACTGTAGACGTAGCACCAATACGCCTATTGGTCTTGTGCTCAATCTTTCCTTTGCTTTTGAACAAGACCCCGAGATACACAAAAAAAAAACCTTAACTCCTCCACTTGAGGCAGGACCTCATCCCTGACCTGGAGAAAGCATTCTACCCTTTTCCGACTGAAGACCATGGTCTTGGATTGTTTAAAATTCTTGTATTGTTAATACTGCAAACAGCTGTTTAACAGAATTTAGGAATTAAAATGAAGTTACAACGTTGCCATTTTTACCACCTCAGTTCACAAGAAGCCAGGCCAGTATGCAAAGAAAGAGAAATTTGATCAGTTTGGCTTCATCATTGAAAACAATGAATTTAGTACGTGTCTTTTCTCATCCGCATTTG